CACTGTATTTATGCACGTCGATTATTCTCTGGGGTTCACCCACCAAAACCGCATAAAAAGCGCTCGAGAAGAGCCGAAACCCTCGCAGTGACGTCAGGCTTCGGCAGAAACATCGGCAAAATACGTGTCTAGGCTTTCAGCTAGTACCTATGTCGGGAGTACGGTAGAACTATTCATCAAATAGGATCATACTACCAGTAGTGTCATTTGTTGCAGGATGAAAATTGTGTGGTTTTCCCACAGTAGATAATTGTCTTTCACCTAACCGTCCCCGATACTTAACTCTATGTCTCGCATTTAAGAATTTCTTTATCACATACATATATATGCAATATTTTTATAAGTTACGGTAAGGGCTCTCAGAGATTTCACTACGGGACCTTCTCGCCTTGTCATGAATTTTTATTCAGTTCGCGACTCTAGACCGAGTCCCAAGTCACAATGGGACGAGTAGGCTAGATAACGCGAATGGTGAGCACTTTATGTCATAGTCTATGTGGCCGATCACAACCGGTAGGACAAAGGGTAGGTGGCTCGAGGGTGAGAGATTTGGACAGAACACAGATTCGAGCCCTAGGAGTTGCAAACATCGGGCTGGGCATGGCTGGCTGATGGCGGCTAATTGGCCAGAAGTGGCTATTCCAGACACCCTCGCCTTTTTCAACCATCGAATTGCGGACATATATGAATTTAAACAGTAGTCATGCCACACTCTCGTCAAATATAAATATATATGTGTATATGGTAAAGGTATTATACCGTACTGCCGACATAGATACATGCTAAAAGCCCAGACACGTGTTTCGCCGATATTCTGCCGCTCCATGACACAGCTGCGAGGGGTTTTGCTCTTCAGTTGGACCCCCAGCCTTATATAGCGGTTTTTGGTATATGAACTCCAGAGAATAATCAAGTGAATAATTTCAGAAATTACTCAGTGCAGGACTTGGACTTAAATCTCCGGGACATGACCTTTTAGGATCTGGACCGAAATTTCAATGAACATTCGAGTCGAAGACAATCAACTACTGTGGAGTAACCACGTAATGCCCATTCTACATTCGACTAGAATGTTCATTGAAATTTCGATCCTGACCCTAAAAAGCCATGTCCCGGAGATTTAACTCCAAGTCCTGCAATGAGTAATTTCTGAAATTATTACCCTGATTATTCTCTGGAGTTCATATGCCGTAAATCGCTAAAGAACGCTGGGGGTCCCACTGAAGAGCCGAGTCCCTCGCAGCTGTGTCACTCAGCGGCAGAATATCGGCGAAACACGTGTCTGGGCTTTTAGCAAGCATCTCTGTCGGGAGTACGGTATAATACCATTACCATATGGACTTCATACTACTTGTTGTACTACTTGTTTGTAGAATTGGCATTACGTGGTTATTCCACAGTAGTTGATTGTATTCGACTCGAATGTTCATTGAAATTTTGATCCTGACCCTATAAAGTCATGTCTCGGAGATTTAACTTCAAGTCCTGCACTGAGTAATTTCTGAAATTATTCACTTGATATATGTATATGTCTGTAGGTAGCACGGTATACCATACTTGACAACATAGTTACTAACGGAAAGTCAAGGCCGGCCTTTATCGTTATTCTGCCACTACATGACACAACGTCGAGGGGTTTTGCTCATTAGTCGGTATCACAGTGTTCCGTGTGTACTTTCTGGAATATAACCCAGCTTTGAAATGGCGGATTTTTAATTTCTTCAAATGTAAATCGTAAACTTGAACTATGTCAGTCTGTTGGAGACTTATAGATTCGGACTAAAACTTGATATGAATATTTGGGCCGAAAGCCACCGAACACAAGGGAATAACAGCATCATTTTCATGAACTTTCAACAGTAAGCTAGTATTACATGCACAAATAGTACTCAGACGAGGCGTGCATCAATCAGCATATCGATTTAGATGTCACATGCGAACACTTCACGGAAAAAACAAACTGGCGCAGCCAATTTCGCAGATGTATCAAGATGCACAGGAATGAAAACTATGGAGATAAGAAATACCGACAGGAAGTTGCCAACGATATTGTCGGAAACTAGCAGATTAAAAAATTATTTGATCATCAGTCCGAAATCAATATTATATAAGATCTCACATGCTAATAGAAAAAGGTCTTGCGGTAATTGACCCTTGAAGGGAAGTAAACCAAGTATGCGGACTAATCCCAAGGTATTTTCAAAACGAGCCAGGAAACATATATTTAATTTAGGTTTATAGGTAGCAGAAACTAGGATTTGTCAGAGTCAGTAAA